AAGGCCCAACGCATGGGCACCCCCCCCCCCCCCCCCCCCCACACCTGCCTTATGCAAAATATACAAGTTATACTTTATTTTGGGGTATTGTACAATTGCCACAATATGCACTACTCAAACATAAATCAGGACAAACATTTTTTTAAATGAAGTGTTACGTTAAAAATCAAGCATCTTCTGTATGATTTGTTCTTTTCATCTGTAATTTGTTAAAATGATACCTTCTGAAAGATTTTGTGTGTGGCCCTTGACAGCTCACCAAAACTCATTAAGTGGCCCTTTAGTCAAAATAATTGTCCACCCCTGCCATAGATACATTCTAATGTTTATGTTGTCCATAAAATGGACTAATGGCTGCATCTCTAGAATAACTGTTGGTCATCTGAGAGGGATAGAACATTACGAAAAATAAAATCCATCATTACTTAAAACACACTGCCGTACTTGATTAATGTCAATAATAAGCTGTTTTCATCAACACAGGCCACATCTTATTGAGGTATAATTGCACACAGGAAGCCAGTATATTGAATGCTCACATTGTTGGTTGGTCTCTGAGGCAGTGATTCTCAACTAGGGTGCCCTGAGATTGTTTCAAGGGTGCTGTGGGGTGCCATGCAATATTAACACTGTTAAGTTTGCAAGCATGATTCACAAGATAAACTCAGACATTTCAAACAGAAATCCATAGTTGATGCCTTTCTGAGTTCTTTGCAACAGAAAAACTACTCTATTGTGTTTCTATAGTAAAAAAATAAAGGGAAAACTAAAAGCTGGCATTTTCTGAGGGGTACTGCAAATCTATCCAGGGGTGCCTCAGGTCTAAAGAGGTTGAGAACCACTAGCCTAAGGATAAGAGCTTGTTATGTAGCCTTAAGGGAAAAAAAAAATATTTTAGCTGAAGTGGTTAGAGAGCTGTTGTTTTGGGATTAGAGATCCTGGCAGCCAGCCCTAACACCGAACTACACCGCAGTCCTGGTTCCAGATAGATAACTTCCAGTTCTAGAAGTCAGGTGGGACCTCCAATCACTCACTGCCAGTGCCGTTGCAGTAAGGGCCACAAGATCAGAAAGGCTGAGAGCTGCTGTTTAGTAGTACTGTTTTCCACTACAGCAGAACAAAATGTTAAGTCATGGTCTTTTTGTTGTTCCTTGAAGAATATTGTTGATAATGTATTTTATTTTTATACATTTATTTTAATCTGTACTTGCATATTGGCATGTTTAACTTTTTGACACATTATACTTGTAATACATATTATTTAATAAATACTGTCTTTCATGTTGCATTATATACAAATTGAGCTAACACTAATGCTTTATTTTTCTTTTGTTTCAGCTGTGTCCAAAGTTTTTGCACACAAATTCTACCAGTCACACCTGGCCTTTCAGTGCAATTGCAGAACTTATAGGTATTTGGATCTGCATTTATTTATGTACTTGATATATCTCTGTTATAGTTTATGTTGTGCCTAATGAATTTAATCTTGCAAATTTAAATTCAGCTAAATTAATTAGCTTAATAGGAGGTGCAAAAAATTGAAAATTATTTAAATTTATATAATAAATTTAGATCATAGCCAGAAAACTTGCATGTAATATCATTTTAGTGCGATACTTTGGTATTATATTTAAAAACTTCCTTACATGTGGTCTTAATGATATATATTATGGCTTTTCTGTACATAGGCCTGCCTGTTTCCTTTGTTATATAACTTACTGGTACAACTTATGTCTTGAACACTGTACTAAGAAGGTTTTTGAGATTTAATTATTTATCTTAAAAAAAAAAAAAAGTAAATCCTTTACTCAGCTTGTTCAACTTTCAGTTGCAAAGCCTGCAAGCCACTTATATTGTCTGAAGCATACAAAGTTTTAACTATAATCAATTGAAATATGTTTTACAAAAATTGTACAGAATTAAATATGAGATATTATAGGGATGACCTGCTGAATCCGTGCAACAGTTAAATTTCTAAAAGGACTTGGTATATTTCTCCTCACCTGAATTAAGTATCTTGAGTATTTAAATGAGTGAACTTTTTGATATTTTTAATTGGTGTTCTTTAAGTTCATGCTTTCCTAATTTCCAGACAATGCTTATGATCCAGATGTGAATGCTAAACAAATATGGATAGATAAGACAGTAATAAATGACAGCGTATGTTTGACATTTACTGATAATGGGAATGGTATGACATCAGAGAAGTTGCACAAAATGCTAAGGTGGGTAACATTTTTTTTTGATTTAACAGCAGTTGCAACAACTGGATTTCACCCTAGGGGTCCCTTCTGAGCATCTGTTCCAAAGATGATGATGATTATTATTAATCCATTTGTATATCACATTATATTGTTCAGTTCATTTCTTTTAAAAAATCTGTTAGTGAATTTAGTGAGCGTGAAAATTAGAACCCTAGTGTAGTGTAGGCTTTGGCTATAGGAGATGGAGGCTCATACAGCTGTGGAGCTGCTTTTTTCAGCCTGAGGGTATGGCTAGCAGTGGGCAGGGCCTGCCATGGAATCTGGAGCTCAACTGGGCATGACCATCAGCTGCAGAGCTGTGTTGACTGCTATTTGCACCAACCAGTTCAGCCATTACAAGCATCCGCTTACCCTGTGGCCACTTGCTTTACTGCGGGGCAGCCATGGGGAAGGCTGGGGGAGCTGGCGGGGATGAGACTGGGCAGGGGGGTCCCCCCATGATCCCCTTCCTCTCCTCCAGCCCCCCCACCCCCTACTTACTGGCATGGAGCCTGGGTCCAGCTCCCAGTGACAGTGAGCGGGGACCACCTGAATCTCTGAATCTATTCACAGGCTTCTGATTCAGTTTGGACCTTTTAATGGGTGTCTCAGTTCGATTCAGATTTGGAGATTTGGCCCCCAAATCGGGCTGAATGTCCTCCGAATCTAATTAGATACCGAAGCTTCGCACAGCCCTAATATATACCCTATTTCACTACTTTGGTATGTGTGCCAGTTAGTTATCCCTTCATTGTTAAACCTCCCTCCAGACCACCCTGTCGTCTTGGAAGATATGTCACATGACGTATCATTTTCAGATGTGATCTTCAGGGACGTGGAAACTCCCTGCTCGTTATATTTTTGGCAGCCCTGCTGAACCTGGTCACCTTCTAGGAAGGGAGAGGGAACTGGGGAACTTGGATAGAAGCTGAGGCCTCATTAAACTAAGAAGTGGAGGGGAGGAGGAGGGAGGCCTGCACAAAGCTGACACCTGCTGAGTCAAGAGTCTGCTGAAGGCTTAGCAAGGCAGTATCAGGGGTACAGGACATCTAATTTATTCAACAACGATTTACACTGAAAGTCCTCAAACTTAACCCCAGCAACTGACTCTAGAAACTCTTCCGCACTTCAGGTTAAGTTTGCCTTCTAGCCCATTGCTGTCTGCGGTGTTTGCAACTTTCTGTTCCAGGATTTTGACCTTTTACAACCTCCTTCATGTCCAGCACAAAAAATAAAATGTCCTGTAGGCTGATTCCTAGTAGGGTTCTTCAGGAGGTACAGGAAGTACCATGTGAATAGCTTTGGTGCAGGCCTCAAGATAAGATAGAGGTAGGAAGAGGCAGTTCACCTGGCTCAGGCTGGCTAAGGGTCACCCTTGAAGATCCTAAATATAAGTGTAAGTATGCCTTTCATTATTGATAAATGTGAAAGGTAATATAATTCAAACTTGTCAGATTATTCATAGTAAAAAATATTGTGCAAAAATTAAGGGAATTAAGAGTAGCTGTAATGAAGTTAAATATATTTTCTTGACTCTTAGTCCTTTATCTACATGGAAATGGTTAGGAAACCAAACTGCTCAAATTCCATGAATGTATTGTTAATCACAAATATAATCAATTAGCAACATAAAAAAAACTATACCAATTTTTCAGTTTGTTTTCATGCTGTAGCATTTCAGTGGAGCCAGCTTGACACACCTATCCAGTATTCCAATATTTCAGCAAAGTGTTTTGTTACAGAATTTTCCATACATTGATCAACTTTCTGTAGATAGTTTCCGCCTGTTTATCTAGCTTTCAACAAAGGATTCCAGATACTCCGCAAGCTCTAATCATTCTGGTACTAGTTAGGCATCAGTAGGATCATACATTTAGCCCTTTCTTTCCAGTAAGCTCCTATCCCTAGCACAAAGGAGTATTCTGATTTTTGGAGCCAGCTTAGAATGAGTAAACAGTCTGCCAGGACTTCTGTTCACAACCTAATACAAAATCCTCACTCTTGTGGATCTATGAAAGTTAATATTAACTAGGATAAAAATGTAATCATAAGGTAGACATTGCATGAATGAATCAACATTTTTAATGTAATTTCCTTTAATGTATTGTTTCTAGGCATAGGGCTTGCATGCTAAATTCTGTGTGCAACTACAGATATCCAACTCCTTTCATGTTGGATATAATGGTATCACTTTTACAATGGAAAGTTTGCTTCAGTTTGTACATTATTGTAAACACATTTTAAAGATGTGGAAAAAGTGTTCACCTAAGTCTCATTCTCTCTTTATGAATTCAGGATAGTGATTCTCAACCTTTTGGGACTCAACACACCCCTCAAACTTTTCAGAATTTAGCAGCACCTCATTTTAAAAAACTTTCTTTAGATGCGTTATGCATATTATAATATGAACATTGTAATTATAATACATTAGTAATTGACTAGAACATAATTTATATTATATTTACCCCACTGCTACAATGGCCAGGTGGAACCATGCTGTGCACTTCCTGCAGAGCCAGGTCAGGAAGCAGTTATGTCAGAATTCTGTGCTCTTGCCGTAGCCCTTCCCAGTTGGGCCCTACAGATGAAACTGTTCCACCTACCTTTGTTTTCAGGAGGCTCATCAGAGTCAAGCTGAGAAGTGAGTCCAACAGAAAGGCATACCTGCCTGCATTAGTTACGCAGACAGGCATACCATTTATATTGCAGCTCTTCTGAGTTGGGCTCCAGCATTTCTCTTGAACATGGAGGGGCACTGTGCAGTTCTACCTGGTGGCAGCAGCGTTTATTTCCTGACTATTGCTGCCACCAGGTAGAACTGCCCTGTACACCTACCTCCATGTTCAGGACACATGTCAGAGCTGAACAGCAAAGACTTGCAACAGAAAGGGCTGCAGGCTAGCATACCTTTCTGCTGCAGCTGCTTCTCAATTCAGCTTCAGCGCACCTCCTGAGAACAGACATATGCAGGGCAGTTTTACCCCAACGAGGTGGTGGTTGTGGTGCTAGCATTGCACCACCACAGTTGAGACCCACTGCCATCAGATACTTAGAAATATTTAGGAGCACTCATTGCATAATTTCATACAAATGGTATTCCTTAGACTAGGGGTTGGCAACTTCTGACCCTGCAGGCCAGAGCTTGTGACCAATCCCTTGTACAGGCTGCAGATCTCCACCCCTGAAAAGCTTAAGCAACTTGCATTTGCTCTTTCTGAAAATATCTGGACCCCCTGCAGTAAAATAAGCACAGGCTCAAGAGAACAGTAGAGAGGCTGCCTGAGGGGGTTGGGAAGAAGGTCCAGTTTAACTGTGTGCTGCCAGATCAAACCTCTTCATGAGTTCAGTGTGGCACTGGTGCTGTAGGTTGCCAAACCCTTAGTTATGCATATTTAAAGATAGCAGTAGCTCACACACTGCAAAGCATCTTAGCAATATAGCATTAATAATCTTTGGCTTTGTCTACCTGTAAAGCAAATTCACATTTTCTTTGTGCTGCAACCATTGCTCTCAAAAATTGAGATTAACTCCATCTGTTTAAATCTGTGTTGATATTGGTCTTCTATGGTTGTTTTACACTTGCACATTTTTTTATAATGTGTTTCAGTTTTGGATTCAGTGACAAAGTTGCAGTCAACGGCCGCGTTCCAGTAGGGCTGTATGGAAATGGATTCAAATCAGGATCCATGCGCCTGGGAAAAGATGCAATTGTTTTCACCAAAAATGGAGAGTCTATGTGTGTTGGCCTGTTATCTCAGACCTACCTGGAAGCTATAAAAGCCGAGCATGTCATGGTTCCTATAGTATCATTCGACAGGCAACATATCCTTTTCACTGTTTCAGAATGTTGTATTTGCAAATGTAAAAATAGTATATTAACAACTGGATGAATCTAGGATTTTGAAAAGGGAGTGAGGGCTGTGCAGATGGTGTGGTAATTGCACATATTTTTCTGTTGTTAAAAATAAACTAGAAGTTTTACTAGAGCTCCAGGGCTATATTATTCAGTTAAAATTGAAGCAAAAACAAATGTAACTTTTATTGGAATGTGAGTTAATTTGCTATACCATGTATTATGTATAAAAACACAGCAAACTAGGCAAAAATAATCAAAATATGTTGCATCTTTAGTCCTGTTATTAGAATTAAATATACATCTCTTTCTTCAGATTTCTAAAACAAAATCTAGCCTTTGTGAGCATCCTGACAGTGCATCCAATGCTTCATTGAAAGTTATTTCCACACCCAAGTTAATGTTCACGAGAATTAAGGTTTCTACTTCTGATTTAATGTTTTTAGCTAGTTTAAAAAAAATTCACATGGCTGTGAAATAGGAGCTATATTACCAGGAGCAGTTAACAAGCAATAAAATTACAGAAGAAAGACTACCTTAATTAATGGAACAATGAAATTGTTAAAAAGGAGAGAGGGTCATTAAGACCAACTGAATGAAGAGTTTAGAAGGAATCAGGTGGATTATAATGAGCCATGAAGTCAAGTGAGTCCATCACTGCTGCCTGAATAGAGACACTGCTGCCATTGCCAGGTTGTTATTTTTAAACTTTGTTTGAACTAGGACTCAAAGGGGGTAGGTGGAGAAGTGCAACTGTACACCCACCCTCCCCCAGTTATTCATGCTCTTACAAAAGATGGAAATGTTGTAGCCATACTTATCCTGCTTACAAAAAAGAAGGAAAGAGGTTATAATTATATGGTTGCATATAAACATCAAGCTTGCAACAACTTTGAGACAAATGAGATAAGACCCCAGGCATACATTAGCTCTGTTGAAGAAGTTTGTGTTAAAAATTATTTAAAATTGTAGATACTGTTTAATTCTTTAACTTAGTTTTTACGTCAGATAATTAACCCAGGAGAATCCAGAGGCAACCTGAAAGCCCTTCTGACACATTCTTTGTTCTCTTCTGAAGATAAGTTACTGGCAGAGCTTGATGCTATCCTGGGGAAAAAAGGAACACGAATTATCATTTGGAACCTAAGAAGGTAAGATTAAGTCCAGCATTTGCTGATTTGTGCACTTGCAATCCATATTTGGTATGCACTACTTTAGTAGGCTTATAGTCTTTAGAACTGTTGATAGAACAACTGCATAAGTCTACAAAGCTGATGAGCATGGAGCTAATAACAATTCTGCTGAACATAGGCTGTTGGACTGGAGGGCCATAACTTGTACCCCTAAATTGCCATAACAGAGCAAATAAATAGCCAAAGACAAAGAGAATAAATGACGCATCCTGCTATATCTAATTTATTTTAATATTTAAAGGGAAATTAGGTTGCTTTTTGGCACAGCATAATACATTACCTACATTTTCTTGGGGTGGTACGGTGCTCTACCCAACAGACCTGGGATTTTCCAAGTATAGTTCTAATTTGTGATGTTGACACACTTGTACATCTAATTGGAATTTTTCCATATATTTGCTAGGGCTGAGTCCAAAGTCTCAAAGTCATATTTACATAAATTAATTGAATTTAAAGCAAACCTATAAAGCCATCTTACCACATGCACCTGCCTCTCTCTGTACACTTGTACCTTACTGTATGTTCTCAAGTGGTTTACCCAATAGTTTTAAATGTTGTAAATAATGGGGTTTTCACACAACGTGATTTGAAGTATTCCAGAATCGTGTGTGTGTGTGTGTTCCACAGTCTAATCTAGTGATTCTCAACCCGAGTAACTTGGAATTCTTTCAAGGATGTTACAAGGTGCTGCACAATATTACCACTGTTAGGCGCAAACATGACTCTCAAAATAAACCCAGAGATTTCAAGTAAGAATCCATAAGGTCAAAAGGATTCTGACCTGTTATGGTCTTTCTGAGTCCTTTGCACCAGAAGAATTTCTCTGTAATTTTTCTCTGTAGTCAAAAAAGAATAAAAGCTAAGAACTGGTGTCAAGTGATGAAATGGGATTCAGGACTACTGTATAAAGGATTGACACTACAGCTTGTTCAATAAATGACAGAAAGGCTTTATTTACTACAACTATTCACTATTAAATGAGCCTAAATCAAAGTAAAGTCCAGTATATTTAGCTGTAGAAGTCCTAGGATCTCACCAGTAGGCCTGTGCAAGTAGGCAGGTATTCGATCCGGCTTCAGATCCGGCTGCTTCAGATGTCAGCAATCCGATCCAGATCTCTGGATTGGTTTGCCACTTCAATCCAGCCAAAGCGGCTCCAAAGCTTTGGAGCTGCCTCAGAGATCCAGCCATAGGCTATAATGGGAGATCAATGAAATATCTATAACTTTGTTGTTTTGTCTATGGTTTGGGTGAAACGTGCAGGGATGGTAGCCTCTGCTGAGAGCATGAAGACTGCCAAGTTTCAAGAAGATAGGTGTAGGGGTTTGGGGGAACCTGCACCCCAAATTCTTGAAAGCAAAACTCATGTCATATCTATATGTTACACCACGGGGGAAGGTGAAAACTGCAGGAGTGGTGGCCCCTGGTGAGGTCACGAAGCATGCCAAATTTCAAGAAGATAGGTGCAGGGGTTTGGGAAGAACTGCACCTCAAGCTGCTGATAGGCAAAACTCATGATTTAGGTGGGTGCTTGGGTGACCATGTCTGTGTTGAGGCACACGGGGTGGAATCTAGTGCAGGCCTGGGTGCTGGGCCCTGCCAAGCCCTGAAGCCTGGCAGCTGTGTCTCTCTCGATGGGGGAGTCTGTCTTCTGGAGCCCTGCACCGCAAGCTCCTGGCAGGCAAAACTCGTGGGGGGGGGTGGTTAAGGTGCGCCTTTCCTGGCACTGGGGCCTCTGCACAGCAGTGTGCCCCAGTGAGGCTTCCTCCTCCCCTACAGCCTCACGCCCGGTCCACCACTTTACGTGACAACAGGTAAAATAACTTAGCTGGCTCAAAGGTACCCAAATGGAACTGTCACAAAGCCTTTCTTTTTATAAAGCAATTGACAGCAAGAAGTAAAAATGTTGTGTTGTGTTGTGTTGGACATATGATGTTACTCATGGTGTGAGATGGCTTATCTTGTGTTTTTATGTCTATGTGTATTGTGAAAAAAAAGGAGTACTTAAAAAATGTATCTTTGGAAGCTTTAGGGTTAAAAACCCCTTTGTAAGGCTGAGGAAGTACCTGCAGTTGGTCCTGGATGGAAGGAATAGTAAAGAAGCTAGAGGCTGGCCTGGCCCACAATGCAGGCAAGACAGCCAGTCAGTGAAAATGGAAATGGAGGCATCGGGGTGAGGGACAGGCTGGGGTAGGATGTAGTGGGGAAAGGGGATGTAGCAGTGCAGGTAAAAGTGCACAGGTGCCTGGGGTGTCAGATATCCATTAGGTCACAGTTTGCCAGAATTCCACTGTGTATATTGAGTCGATGAGTTTCTGTACCTACTACCTAGGAGTCTGATGAAGTGCAGTTCATAGGCCCAGCTCTGAAAAGTGATTTGTACATTCAAACAAGCACCTAACCTCGTCACCAGAACTGAAGCCAACTTTCTACAGCTCAAAACACAAAACCTGCCAACTATCTGTAGTACCCCCACAACCTGCACACCAGAATCTATCAAAGACAACAAAACCCAACTACCTGCGGGGGCACATTCCTCACAAAAAAAACACTTCGCCTCCTGTCTTAGGCCTGATCCTGAAGAAACAAATTACAATGCAAACCACTTTTCAGAGCTGTGCCAATGAACTGCACTTCCCCTGCAGCTGTGTTTTGGGAGAGGGGGAGAGGAGAGGGGCGGTTGCAGCTCTAGCTCTCCCCCCTACCCAATCTCCCTCCCCTGCCAGAAGACCTGGCACCTGCCTTTCCACCACGTTTCATATTGATCTTTCCTGTGCTGCAAAAGGTCTGTGTGTGTGTGTCAGTCCTTTTGTATTTTGTGTTTTATTCCCTCTGTTGCGTGTGTGCAATGGCCTCTTCTCTGATTTGTTTGCTTCAGTGTTGAGTTATGTAAAAATTGAGTGCTGTCTGTCTGTCTGTCTTCTTCGCCTATGAATATCTGATTTTTCTTCTTTATATTGCGTGCATGTGTGCGTGCATGCAATCTGTGTGCCTCCCTGCACAGTGATGGATCATACTGGCAGGGAAAAAACAGCTTTCTTTTTTCAAAGTTTCCACATAAAAAAAGAGCAAATATAAATTCAAAGAAATGAATTGAATAGTAATTGAATAGCTAAGCTAAGATAAGCTAAATCCTACCCAATCCTTTCTAACAACAAAAAGGAGCAGGCAAGTTCAACTACTGAGTAAAGCAAGCAAGCTGAAATGTTTGAGTCTGAGGGTTCCTTTCTCATGCAGTTCGTGAGAGGGAACAAGCTAGGAAAAGGCACAGCACTCCTCCAAACAGAGGCTTTTATGCAGTTTCTAGGCCCACCCCACAGGCGCTGTCATTGGAAAGGCAGCCAGGAAGAAATC